CAGCCATCATTGTTGCTTGGCGGGCCTGGACTGGGGATTCGAACCCACCACCTTAGGTGTATGTGGCTGGCGCCTTTTCCTATTTTTTTTAGTAGAAATGGGGTCTCACTCACGCTAGTCTCGAACCCGTGAGCTCAAGCAATCCACCTGCCTGGCCTACCAGAGCGCTAGAAGTGTGAGCCACCACACTGGCCCTAGGTTTTTTATTTCTATTTTTTAATGGAAACAGGAGTTTGCCTAAGCCTCCCAAGTAGCTGGGACTGCAGGCGCCCCGCACAACGCCTGGCTATTTTTTTTGTTGCAGTTGTCATTGTTGCCCAGACCGGTTTCGAACCCGCCAGCCTCGGTGTATGTGGCTGGCGCCGTTACCACTGTGCTACGCGCGCCGGTCCCTGACCGCTAGATTTCAATCTTACCCTTTGGTTTTACAGATGGGTAAACTGAGGCCCAGAGCAGGGAAATACGCTTGCTGAGGGACACCCAGTGTCCTGGGTGGACCTAATCAAAGAGCTCAGCTTTTTGCCACCACCCAGTGGCGGGCACCGAAGCCCCCAAACGTTTGTGTCCTCGCGGAGGATGAGCCGGCGGGGTCAGACGTCCGCGCCACTCACGGGAGCTCCGCGAAGAAGGCACACCCTCGGAGGGGCACCTACCACAGTGGCTTCTTCCCGCCCGCAGTCCATCACCTAGCCCGCCCGGGAACTTCGCACGCAGCCGCAGGCTAGGGGTCTCCGTGAGCATCCCACGGGGTGCGCCATGTCTCCTCCCCGCGACTTCAGAGACCAGTCTCCAACAGGAACTGCCTCTTACCTGGTCGAGTCCCAAGGGCTGAATCTGAGCTGTCCAACCTTCCTGTCGCTATGACAACCACAGGCCTAACATTCTGGAGTCCACCTTCTGGCTGCCTCTAACTCTAGCCAATGGTGTCCTCTGTTTCTCTAGTGTGATAAGCTGTTGACCAATCACTAGAGGCGTTTCAAAGTCCTTCCTGAAGCTACCAGAATTTTAGGGTTCTGCTAATTACGTCAGGACTAGTGGGGAGAATTAACAGAAATTTATCTAGGTGACCCCTCAAAAACCTTCTGATAGACCAAAAGCCTTGTAATTTTGCCCACTCAAAAGTCCTACTGGAAGAAATAAAAAAATTGACAGTCTTCTTTTTTTTTT